TCATCCTCAGAATATGTCCAGAATCCAACTACTCTACCATTTCCACCACTTCCACCCTACTCCAAGTCACCATTATTTTTCTTTTGGAATATTGCAATAACCTCCCAACTAGTCCCCCAGCTTTTGCCCAATCGAGTCACCACACAGCAGCCAGAGTGTGTCTTTTAATATGGAAGTCAGCTCGCAGCACTGTTTCACCCCAAACTCCCACTGGCATCCTATCTCATTTGATGCAAAGGTTAGACACTTGACTACTTACAGAAAGGTTGGTGGTTCAAACCCATCAGCTGCTCCACATGAGAAAAGACCTGGCACTCTGTTCCCATAAAGAGTAGAGCCTAGGAAACCCTATGGGGCAGTTTTACTCTGTCTTGCTAAGTCTCTATGAGTCAGAATCAATCTGATGGCACACAACTACAACATAATGGCCAAACTGCCTCAACCTCATCTCCCACAACTCTTACCCTTACTCATTCTGGTCCAGTCACCCTTACTTCCCTTTTCAAACAGGCGCAGCATGATTGGATAGCTCACGTCTCAGGGTTTTTGCACCTGGTGGAGTCTTTGCCTAGAATGTTCATTCCTCAGATATCTGCACGACTTGGTCCTTTGCTTACCACAGACCTAGGCTCAGTGTCATTAGTGATGCCTTCCTTGACCACCTCCTGAACACTTAACACCCCCTGGCACGTATTTACATATTTATCTTCTACCTTCTCCCCATTAGAATGTTCACAAAGACAGAACTTTGGGTCAGATAGGTGCCCATCCAATAAGCCAGAAATGCCAAATATGGAAAATGGGCAATCTAATTCCGTAGAGATATCGCCTTGGAAACCCAAGGAGGGGTCGGTAGGAGTCGGATCCAACTCAACAGCAGTGAGTTTGGTTTGGTTTTTGGAACATAGTCATTAACATGAGTGGATTAGTTTCAATAATTAGTATTATAATATACAGCACTATGCTTCTTTCTGAATAAATCATTTCCAATCAACATTTACTCATCTTGTAGGTATTTTATTCCTCCACTGGCAATTTTTCTTTTTTAAAACCAAATTATTTCTCCCAAAGCCAGATTTAACCTCAGACTCAGCCAAATGAAAAAGAATCTGTCTATAATACAGTATTCTCACTTCTGACCATTGCTCAGACTTCTAAGGTCCTCTTTTATTTACTCAAATTTAATTTATTGTTTCCCCTGCAAACATTTCTTTACATTTCAATTTGCTTTCATTTTCCATCAGCTCCAAACCTAGCAAGAAAGGGCTTCAGCTTTTGTTTGGGAGTCTCGTAGAGTTTTCTCCACAACCTATCTGCCTCTATCTAAGTCCCCCTTTTCACTTCGTTTGGTTTTAATAAACTGTTGTTGTTGTTGTTATGTGCCGTCGAGTCGACCCCGACTCATAGTGACCCCTCCTTGGGTTTCCGAGGCAGTATCACTACAGAAGTAGGATTGCCCAACCTTCCTTCCAAGGAGTGGCTGGTGGGTTTGAACCGCCAGCCTTCTGGTTAGCAGTCAAGTGCTTTAGCCACTATGCTACCAGAGCTCCCTTTAATAAACTAGGTGTACAGAAAAGGATAAAAGGAGAGTTCCTTTTACCCACTTCCCCTGCACACTGTTTCTCCAACTAACATCCTGTCTCCCTGCTTCCACTCTAGTTTTGTTTTTAATTCAGGAGACCATAAATGTGTGTCTACTCATTCACCCATTGTTACTTTTGTTTTTTCAAACTCTTCATGCAAAATTTAGACCTTCAGATCCCTTTGTCTGCTCTAGTCAAATTAACTTCACACAGAAGGTAGAGCCAGAAAGTATCTTAGCCTAGTGTATGTCAACAACACTAGCCTCTAGAGTGCATTTGAGAAATCGGTAGGGGCATTTGGGTTGCCACAATCATCTGGGGCTGGGGGAACATGCCAGTACATAACTGTCATGCTAGACATCCTGTAATATAACAAGCCAACACACGAAAAAGGTATTGCCCCACCAGATATTCAAGTAGATTAAAAACCTGCTTCTGGTTATCTGAGCCTCAGACCCTTGTCTACATTTTATAGGGCAAACTTGTGTGTGTGTGTGTGTGTGTGTGTCTGGTTTTAATGTAAGTTATATTTTCTAAGAATTCTTCTTGGTAGTCTTCTCCAATGGAAGATTATGCTTTATATATTCAGAATTTTACCAAGAAGCTTTTCACCATTTTGAAAAACTCATGCCAAAAACAGCAAGCCTTTCTGATGCTTGAAGCAGCAATGCAACACACCTGTGCATAAGGGTAAGTCAATGATTACTGCTTAGTATTTTCTCCTGTACATGCTTTCACCTTTGTATTTTGAAATACGTATTATTTTGCCATTCTTAAATGTCTTTCTCCTTTAGTTAGAATGTCACCTTTTTTAAAAGTTACATGTGTAAATGGGTTGTTATCCATGTTTTCCATTACAGAAGTGTTTTAAAAAGGTCTATTAATGACATTAAAGAGGGGATGTTGATGTTACATTGAGAAACACTGAGGCAGCTCAATGAATAACGAAGAAACTGAAGACAAGAGAAGCAACGTAACCTGGGTAGGATATTGTCACATTCTTCAGCCTAACAGATCTCTCCAGGATTTCCCCTTTGCTTCCCAGGTTACTAATGGCACTTACTCTGATCATGTCACACATCGCCTTTTTATCACTTTCAAGGATTCTAAGCTTTTCTTCATCCTAAGCTATTTTATAAGGACCCCAAAAATAGTTTGTCATGGAGTTAAAATCTAGGTTTAGATAATCACATGGAGTGTTTTCATCTTCTTGAATGGTAAGCCCACAAGGACAAATTGTGCAGGTAATAAAACTTGTACTGTTCTTAAGAATTCAGATGGTGTTTGCACAGGGAGATAACTGGGGGGGTGGGCAGGAATGCATGGGAGGGGAAGGACACTGGGAAGAGGTAAATACAGGGAGGAAGCAGGAAGAGAGCTGTTACATTGTGGAGAACTGCAGTCAATGTCATGAAATAAAATGTGTATGAACTGCTATATGGAAAATGAATTTGCTCTGTAAACTTTCACCCAATTCACAATAAATTCTTTTTTAAATAATTTAGATGGTAGTCTCACATATGTGACCTCATTTGATACTCACTACAGTCCTGTGTTGTTAGGTGCCATCAAGTCAGTTTTGACTCACAGCAACCCTATGCACAACAGAACAAAACGATGCCTGGTCCTGCGCCATTAACAATCATTGCTATGTTTGAGCCCATTGTTGCAGCCACTGTGTCAAGTCCGCCTTGTTCAGGGTCTTCCTCTTTTTCACTGACCCTCTACTTTACCGGACATAATGTCCTTCCCCAGGGACTGGTCCCTCAGATAGTACATCCAAAGTATGGGAAACAAAGTCTCACCATCCTCACTTCAAAGGAGCACTCTGGGTATACTTCTTCCAAGACAGGTTTGTTTGTTCTTCTGGCAGTTCACGGTATATCCAATATCCTTAGCCAACACATAATTCAAAGACATCAATTCTTCTTTGGTCTTCCTTATTCATTGTCCAGCTTTTGCATATTTATGAGGTAACTGAAAATATCACGGCTTGGGTCAGGCATACACTAGTGCTCAAAGTCACATCTTTGTTTTAAATAGGTCTTTTGCAGCAGATTTGCCTTATGCAATATGTAGTTTGATTTCTTAACTGCTACTTCCAGGGTTGCTGAATATGGATCCAAGTAAAATTAAATCCTTGACAACATCAATCTTTTCTGTTTACTGTGATGTTGCTTATTAATCCAGATGTGAGGACTTTTTTATGTTGAGGTGTAATCAATACTGAAGGCTGTAGTCTTTGATCTTCATCAGTACGTGCTTTATGTCCTCTTCGCTTTCAGCAAGAAAAGTTGTGTCATCTGCATATTGCAGGCTGTTAATTAGTCTTCTTCCAATCCTGATGCCAGCTTCTCAGATTATTTGCTCAGCATCCAGACTGAACATGGTAAAAGGATACAACCCTGATGCACACTTTTCCTGATTTTAAACCACACAGTATTCCCATATTCTGTTTGTACAACTGCCTCTTGGTCTGTAGACAGGTTCTGCATGAGCACAATTAAGTGTTTTGGAATTCTCCCATTCTTCACAATGTTACCCATAATTTTTTATGATCCACACAGTCCAATGCCTTTGCATAGGCAATAAAACACAGGTAAACATCATTCTTGACATTCAGCCAAGATCCCTCCGACATTAGCAATGACATTAGCAATGATATCCCTCGCTCCACATTCTCTCCGAAATCCGGCTTGAATTTCTGGCAGTTCCCTGTCCATAATGAAATGGGTAACGATTCTTCTGATCAACATAGTGAATTATACCAAAAACAAACAAAAAACACTCTGCTTGTTATATTACTGAACCAGTGCCATCCTTCTCTTAGGAACTTTCAGAGAGTCCCACAGATGAAGCCACAATGGCTCTCTCAATCAGATTAAAGCCTTAGAATTTTTTTAGGGTTACTTCCAAACCCATTGCCTTCAAGACGATTTTGACCCATAGTAACCCGGTGAGATGGCTGGGGGTTCCAACCGCCTACCTTTCGGTTAACATCTGAGCGCTTTAACCACTGCGAGACCAGGGCTTCTAGGGTTACTCAGCCTCCTCATATATTAATGAGGATACCGAGGTTCAAGAAAAGTTAAGCGACTTACCTAAGGGTCTGAGAAATCATAATATTTCGAAGCAGAGATGTAAAAACATACGGGATGGCTTATTCTATTACTCTAGTTTTTCTCACCTCAAATTTTGGGTAAGAAGTCAAAACCGGACGTAGGCTGCAGTAGCTGGCCCCGCCCCCCCGGGCTCTCCGCGGCAGTGCCTGACAAGCGGTACGCGCAGGGGTCCTCGAGGGGTCCTTCGTGAGAGCTTCCGACGCATTGCCTGAGCCGGTGAGCAGGCGGCTTCCGGTGTGGGTGACGAGTGGTGGCCGAAACAGGGGGGACGTCAAGGGACACTCAGGCAGAAACCATGGCGGACGGCGGCTCGGAGCGTGCTGATGGGCGCATCGTCAAGATGGAGGTGGACTACAGCGCCACTGTGGATCAGCGCCTGCCGGAGTGCGAGAAGCTGGCTAAGGTGAGGGGAGGCTGGCAGGCTGTTGGCGGGCGCCAGCGGCTGAGTCACGGCGCAGAGCCCGCTTAGGCCTCAGGGGGCCTCCGGGCTAGAGCACGCATCTCGCATTCCCAGCCCTGCGCTGGTTGGACCAGCGTGAGTTGGAGATCCGTAGGGCTGTCAGCCACCGAGACTCCGCAGCCGGAATACCCTAGTACAGACAGCTTCCCAAATCCTCCCCAGGACAGATGGTCACTTCCTCCCGGTAGGAGTTAAGGTCCTATACCAGTGGTTGCATTTTCTTGGATGTTGTTTAAGTAACGTTTATTTTAGTATCTTCTCGGGGGTTAAGACCGCTTCAGCATTCAGACAAAGTCAGAGGGTTTAGTTCTTTTGCTCTTGCTGAATCGGTTTATGGTGATCAATTGTAGTTCATGGCAGTGGGCCTAACCTTGGCTGGGAGAAGAGGCAGGAGAGTGTACCAAGGTGAATAACATAGGACCCCTGCTCTTAAGGAATTCACGTAAACAACGGACTAGGCAAGTCATGCGTGGTGGTGAGTGCCATACAAGTATGAACAGTTACTGGAACACAGAAGAAAGCCGTTCATTCGCCTTGGTGGGATAAGGGGAAGTTTCACAGGGCTTAATGTTCATATTGGGAGCTCTGGTAGCACAGTACCTAAGGCACTTGACTGCTAACCAGAAGGCCGGCAGTTCAAACCCACCAGCCATTCCTTGAAAGGAAGGTTGGACAATCTACTTCTTTAGAGATACCGCTTTGGAAACCCAAGGAGGGGTCGCTGTGAGTCGGGTCCGACTGGACGGCAGTGAGTTTGATTTGGTTTAGTTTTACATCCATATTGGGCCTTGAAGAATGAGTAAGACTGGAGGGGGGAGGAGTCATTCCTGGTACAGGGAACCACAGAAATAAAGACAAGTAGGCACTAAAGTCCACATAACCTAATTAAGGGAGGTAATGGACAATAATTCATTAGCTCAGCAGATTATCAGGAATAGAAACTTAACTTGACCTAAGCATGTATCAGACAGGCAAGTTACCCCTGCCTGTCAGGTAACCTTGTGTGCCATTTACACGCACAGAAACCACAGCTCAGAGTTGTTTGCCGAGGGTTACAGAAGGGTTAATAGTGCACATGGATTGCCACTGGATGCAGCTGTGGGTGCAGACATAGCAGTGATTGTGAGGATGGCACAGAACTGGCGTTGTTTCATTCTGTTGTACATAGGGTTGCTATGGGTCAGAACGGGACTCTGGTAGCATAGTGCCTAAGGCACTTGACTGCTAACCAGGAGGCTGGCGGTTCAAACCCACCAGCCACTCCTCGGAAGGAAGATGGGG